TGTTAAATTTTGCAATTTTTCAATTAAAATTTCTGGAGTTTTCAATTTTTAATTTTAAAATTGAACAAACAAAACTTTATAAAATCCACACATCAAAAACTCGAAAAATTGTAAGAATAAAGAAAATGAAAAACCGAAACGAAAAGTTGCAGATCGAAAATTAGAGACGAAAAATTAAAGAATCGACGAATTGAAAAATCAAAGAACGAAAGTTTGAAGAATTGAACATAAAAAAACGAAAAATTGCGAATAAAATCGAGAAAATGAAAATTAAAAAATGGGACAAATGAAAAATAAAAATTTGAAAAACTGAAAAATTAAAAATTGAGAAAAATAAAAAATTGTAGTACCGAAAAATTGCAAAATTGAAAAACTGCAAATCGAACAACTGAAGAAACGAAAAATTGAAAAATTCGGAAGTGCAGGAATTGAAAATTGAAAAAATTAAAATTGCAAAAACAAAAAATTATGAAACCGAAATATTAAAAAAAGGAAAAATTGAAAAAATTAAACGTAATGAAACAACGAAATATTGTGATATCAAAAAATTCTAAAAAATTTTTTCAATTTTGCCTTTCCCATTTTTCGACTTCTCGCTTTTTTTGATGTTTCGAATTCTTGATTTCTCGGTATTTGAATAATTCATCTTTCGATTTTTCGATTTTCAAATTTTTCAAAGTCTCAGTTTTGGGTTTTATGTATTTAAATTTTTTGATTTTTCAACTTTTGGCGTTTCTAAATTTTTCGATTTTTGGATTTCTCAATTAATCGATTTTTTAATTTTTCGACTTTTCGATTTTTTATCTTTCGAATTTCTCGACTTCAATGTCTAAGTTTTGGGATTTTTCAAAAAATCTATTTCGATGTTCAAATCTTTTTCCTTAATTTTTTGATTTGGATTTTTTTTGTTCCTTCAAATTTATAGAACTCCTCGAGTTTTAATTATTAAATTTTTCAATTTTTCATTTTACAATTTTTCGTTTCCGTTTGTTTTCTTTATTTTTCCAATTTTAATTTTTGAATTTCTCATTTCTCCAATTTTTCAATTTGTAAAATTTTCAATTTTTTTTTTTGTTTCTTTCACTGTTATATTTTGCAATTTCTCAATTTAAAATTTCTCGAGTTTTAAATTTTTAATTTTGAAATTGAACAAACAAAACTTTATAAAATCAGCACATCAAAAACTCGAAAAATTGTAAGACCAAAGAAAATGAAAAACCGAAACGAAAAACTGTAGATCGAAAGTTTGAAGAATTGAACAAAAGAAAAACGAAAAATTGCGATATAAAATTGAGAAAATGAAAATTAAAAAATGGAGCAAATGAAAAATGAAAAATTGAGAAAAATAAAAAAAAAGTTGTATTACCGAAAAATTGCAAAATTGAAAAACTGCAAATCGAACTACTGAAGGAACGAAAATTTGAAAAATTAGGAGTGCAGGAATTGAAAATTGAAAAAACTAAAATTGCAAAAACAAAAAATTATGAAACCGAAATATTAAAAAATGGAAAAATTAAAAAAATGAAACGTAATGAAAAAACGAAATATTGTGACATCAAAAAATTCTAAAAAAAATTTTCAATTTTGAAGTTTCCCATTTTTCGATTTTTCGACTTCTCGATTTTTTGATGTTTCGATTTCTTGATTTCTCAGTATTTGAATAATTCATCTTTTCGATTATTCAATTTTCCACTTTTTCAAAGTCTCAGTTTTGAGTTTTATGTATTTAAATTTTTCGATTTTTCAACTTTTCGATTTATCAAATTTTCAATGTCTAAATAAGTTTTGGGATTTTTCAAAAAATCCATTTCGATTTTCAAATATTTTTCCTTGAACAAAAGAAACACGAAAAATTGCGATATAAAATCGCGAAAATGGAAATTAAAAATGGGGAAAATGAAAAATAAAAGTCGAAGACCTTGAAAATTTGAAAAACCGAAAAATTAAAAATTGAGGAAAATAAAAATAAAAAGTTGCAAATCGAACAACTGGAGAAACGAAAAATTAGGAGTGCGGGAATTGAATATTGAAAAAATTAAAGTTGCAAAAACAAAAAATTATGAAACCGAAATATCAAAGAATGGAAAAATTGAAAAAGTTAAACGTAATGAAAAACGAAATGTTGTGAATTTTTCGATTTAGATTTCTCAGTATTTCAATAATTCATCTTTTCGATTTTCCAGTTTTTCAATTTTTGGCTTTCTAAAGTTTTGGATTTTTGATTTCTCAATTAATCGGTTTTTTAATTTTTCGACTTTTCGATTTTTCATCATTCGGATTTCTCGATTTATCAAATTTTCAATGTCAAAGTTTTGGGATTTTTTAATAAATGTGTTTTGATTTTTAAATTTTTAGATTTTTCGACTTTCTGTTTATTTTTACTTATTCGATTTTTAAAGATTTTGCGACTTTTTAAATCTTATATTTTTCGATTTTTTAGTTTTTTGATTTTTCCATTTGTTGACGTTTTGATTGCTCGATTTTTAAAATTTTCAATTTTTCGAAATTGTAAATTTTAGGTTTTTCACTTTTTTGTTGTTTCGATTTCCCAATCTTTCGATTTTTTGCTTTCTCGTTTTTAGACTTTTCGATTTTTCAATTTTCGGCGTTTTTAAATTTTTGGATTTTTCGTTTTCCCCATTTCTCAATTAATAGATTTCTTAATTTTTCAATTTTTCGATTTCTCTTGTGTAAGTTGTGGGATTTTTCAAGATTTCAATTTTTAAATTTTTGATTTTTTGACTTTGTTTTTTTTTTTTTATTTTTTACTTACTCGATTTTTCAAAATTTTTTGGGAGTTTCTCTCGGCAGGTTTAAGTTTTACTCGTCAATTATTTCGTTTTCGAAAAAAGGCGTTTCCAAAGTAAAAAAAAAAAAATAAAAATCGAAAAACAGATGTCAAGAAATCGAAACAAAAAAAAATCGTCAAAAAATGTATATGTATTTTAAAAAATCGAAACATTGAAAAATAGAAATATCGAATTTATATTAATATATGTTTCGAATTTTTGATTTCTCGCTTTTTCGATTTTTCGGCTTTTCAATTATTAAATTTTTTGATTTTTGAGTTCTTATTTTTCGATTTTTGAGTTCTTTATTTTCGATTTCCCAATATGTGTATTCTAGGGGCTATAGTAAGCACTAGGGGAAAGTGAATGTTCACTATTTGCCATACTGTATCCTACAAAAATGATGTGAAATTATAGATTTTGGTTTTGGTGTGAATATGTTACTAATTCATTAATCAAAATTTATCTCTCCTTGCCACCCAAAAATCCAAATTTTTCGAAATTTGTAGAAAACTTGTTCAGAAGCGTTTGGTTTCTTAATACAAAGATATTAATGAATTAAGATCAGGTCAGGTCAAGCCAGGTCAGGACAGGTCTCCCAATTATTGTCAAATTTTACAATATTTAAACATGTTTTTAATTTCTTCTAGAAAAATAAGGGTTTTGCAATTAAGCTCCGCCCCCTTGGCTCACGACGAATAAAAAATCATCACAATTGAGATAGGGCGGGTGGGCGGGGTTTATATTTTCCTTTGTTTTCTCGTAATATACATAGCCATCTTTTAACAACACAAGAAACTTAGAACATGGTTAAAATTAATTTTGAAATGTTGCTATACAATTTTGATAAAATGAACACCCTGTATATAAATAATGGAACTCCGACGTGCTGATTTGAAAAGTATAGGGTGACCAACATTTTTGAAATTTTGGTATGAACGTCAAATTAAAAAAAAAAGTTAAATTTCCCACATTTCAATCGGCGATTTTGGAAAAGTGCCTTTGGCCGATGTTTGAAGGTGGTCGAAAAATGAGACGACGTCATCAAATTTTTGGCGGGATAAATCAGTGGTTTCAGAGTAATAAAGCGCCGAGAACAGATGGACGAAACGCGAGAACTACTTTTTCATGTTCTAGGATTTACGAAACGTCGAGAAAACATCATGTCGTTCGTGCAAAGAAAAATGACGGTTAATTATCTCACAGGTTGTATGAATTCTTGCAAATTTTGGTATTACAGAAACTGATGGCGTCATCTCTTGAAATTACGAAAGGACAGTTCAGTTATGAAATTTTGTTTGCAGTACTAATTTGAACATGGTCATCTTCATTAAATAGAAAAAATAGTAAACACTTGCAGAATTTAAAATTAATTCCAAACTTCACTACAAGCTAAAAACGTTTCCGAGTAAAATCCGAGTTCAATGACTAATTGTTGCCACCTTGGCGACATTGTAAGCCGTGCCAGGTGTATCTTTTGGCTACTGCCGCCTCATTATTTTGAACTTTACCTTTAACTATTAATACTTTGCACGACCCTGACATTTATAAAATACATTTTAAGTGCCACTAGTGGAAGTTTTACGAAGTTTTGAGTAAACAATGCAACCAGTGGAAGATTTCGTTTACCACAAATCTGTCAGATAAAAATATACGGCGCGAATCAACGGTGTTGCACGAGGTCGGATGCATGGATCTGCGTTATTTTCGCCTTGTGATAATGATTTATCGAAGCGATGATGACTGTTGCAGGAAGGAATAGTGGGTGACGTAGGTTTGGTGTGATGATTAGACTTGGCTACCGAATAAACAGTACTTGCCAGCTTTAAAGTTATATTTAAATTATGTTCCGCTTTAAGTCTTTTTCTCTTTATAAAAATAATTAAATGCCGACAATCTTACACACGCAAGTACAGTCATAAGTGAAACGGCAGGTGGAAGTTGTGACAGTTTACGATCCAGAACTCGTGGATGATTTTTTAGTGTGATAATTAACAAGCCAAGGGAGTTATTTTCGGCTTATTATTTTCAACATGGTTTTGAGCAGATTGAACTATTTCTATTTCTTTGTACTGTAGTAGACGGAGTCATTAGATTTAGTATTTATTATTGTCCGGTCGAGTCAGGTCAGCTGATTTGGTTATTTATGGTGATTGTAAATTTTGTTTTTTTCCAAATGTGATCTCAGTTAACCGAATATTAAATAAATAGGATCCCCTTTTCATCCGAGAACACATTCCGAGGTTGCACTCCACAACGCCACACGTGTCCTCTATTCTGATGACGTCACACCCCATGGTTTGTATTATTTGTACGAATTTTTGAGCTGAAGCAGGAAAATTTGAAACTCTTGCAAATATTTATTTTCTTCAATGTACGATGTTGCATATTATCCGTCAAGTTGGCTTTGAAATTTTGAGCATTTGCCGCCTCGTTCTGATAATGATATATAACATAACTAGTGTTGCTAGATGATTAAATGAGCAAAACACAAAAGATGTTAAAAAATTACAAAACAAATTTAAGTAGCGTTTAATAAAATGGTGATAAAAATAAGCAACAGCAAATAATATTTAATTAATTTAATTTCATTTGAAAAAATAATCATCAAGTCGGCGTTGATATTTTGTAAATATTATGAAGTATGTCTGCAATAAACTTAAAATTTATTGGATGACAACCCGGAATGGTACAACCTAACCTCATTTTCTCTTATAATAAAATTAACGCTTTTCTACAATTTTATCAAATGCCATTTATACACAGTAGTATGTTTTTCGCAACGCTTTCTTCTATCAATGTTCACTATTTGGTGGATTCAACTTTAGAATAAAATGTTATAACAATTTTGCCATTTACACTTTGCATAATAAATAAGTTTTTCCTTGATGATGGGAAAATTTCCTCAATTTTGTTGATATTGTAACGGTTGTACAATAAAAAATATATTTGGAGCAGGCTTTGGAATTATTATTTGGCGTTTATTTATGACAGGGTAATTATTGGCGGAGACTAATTAGGCAACCGAATATACTTTCGAGTATGGAGGGTTTCATCATTACTACCTTAAATATAGTCGGGTTGACAGATAATTGACATTTGACTTTTAATATGCGTCAGTTTTTAACGTGACTTTGCACTCAAAAAAATTGGTCAAAGGTTATTTCGATAGAACTTCCCTCGCCTCTGAAGTGAAACCAGTTGCGTAAAAAATACTCGTCTAGAAAATACGGGGAAAAATGCTTTTCGAAAAATCGGATCATCAAAAAATCTAAAGATTAAAATATGGAAAAATGGTCTGGAAATTGAAAAATTCCCAAAATTGAAAAATCGAGAAATTTAAAAATCGAAATGTCGAAAAATTTTTAAAATCGAAAAACTGAGGTGGCACGAAATCGAAACATCAGAAAATCGTCAAATTTAAAAATATCGAAGAACTGAAAAATCGAAAAATCGGAACATTAAAAACTGGAAAAATTGACAAAAAATCGGAAAATTAAATATCGAAAAACTGAAAAATCGAGACATTAAAAATTTCCAAAACTGATATGACGAAAAATTGGGAATCGCAAAATCGAAAAATTCAAAAATCGAAACATCGAAAACTTCAAAGACTGAAACGTCGAAACATCAAAAGATCGAGAAATCGGGAAATCGAAAAGCCGAGAAGTCGAAAAATTGAGAAATCGAAATAGGCCAAAATCGAAAAATTAAAAATTGAAAAAAAAAAAATTTTGAAAAATTGGAAAACCGGGAAATGGAAAAATTGGAAAATCGAAAAACTGAAATAGAGAAGTCGAAAAATCTAAAGATCGAGATATTGGAACATCTAAAAACCGAAAATTTAAAAATTCGAAAAATTGGAAGATAGAATATCGAAGAAGTGAAAAATTAAAATATCATAAAATTAAGTCGAAAAACCGAGAAATCAAGAAATAGAAACATCAAAAAATTCAAAAACTGAAACGTCGAAAATTAAAAAAATGGAAAAATTGAAAATAAGAATATCGAAGAACTGAAAAAGTGAGAAATCGAAAAATCTAAAATTTAAAATTGAAAAATATCAGAAAATTAAAGAAACGAAAAATTGAAAAATCGAGAAGCCGGAAGAGTAAAAAATCGAAAAATTCAATAATCCAAAATTTAAAATTTGAAAAATCGGAAAATTGAATATCGAAAAAGTGAAAAATAGAGAAATCGAAAAATTAGAAAATTGAAAATCCGAGAAATCTAAAAACTGAAAAATTGAATCATTGAAAAATTCAAAAACTGATACTTCGAAACATTAAAAGATCAAGAAATGGGGAAATCGAAAAGTCGAGAAGTCGAAAGATTGAGAAACCGAAATAGGCCAAAATCGAAAATTTAAAAATTGAAAAAAAAGAGAAAATTGAAAAATCGGAAAATGGAAAAATTGGAAAATCGAAAAACTGAAATAGAGAAGTCGAAAAATCTAAAGATCGAGATATTGAAACATCTAAAAACCGAAAAATCGAAAATTTAAAAAAATTTAAAAATGAAAAACTAAAAAATTAAAATATCGAAGAACTGAAAAATCTAAAAATCGAAAAATCGGAAAATTGAATATCGAAAAACTGAAAAATTGAGAAATTGAAAAATTACAAAACTGATATGACGAAAAATTGGGAAATCGAAAAATTAGAAAATTGAAAAGCCGAAAAATCTAAAAACTGGAAAATTGAAACATCGACAAATTCAAAAACTGAAACGTCGAAACATCAGAAGATAGCGAAACCAGGAAATCGAAAAGTCCAGAAGTGGAAAAACTGAGAAATCGAAATAGGCCAAAATCGAAAATTTAAAAATTGAAAAACTGAAATAGAGAAGTCGAAAAATCTAAAGATAGAGATATTGAAACATCTAAAAACCGAAAAATCGAAAATTTAAAAATTCGAAAAACTGGAAGACAATATCCAAGAACTGAAAGATTGAAAAATTAAAACAACAGAAAATTAAGTCGAAAAACCGAGAAATCAAAAAATAGACACATCGAAAAATTCAAAAACTGAAACGTCGAAAATTAAAAAATTTGAAAAATTGAAAATAACAATATCGAAGAACTGAAAAAGTGAGAAATCGGAAAATCCATAAATTTAAAATTGAAAAATATCAGAAAATTAAAGAAATGAAAAATCGGAAAATTAAATATCGAAAAACTGAAAAATAGGGAAATTGAAAAATTTCAAACCTGAAATGACAAAAAATTGGAAAATCGAAATATAGAAAAATTCAAAAACTGAAACATCGAGAAGTCGAAAAATCGAAAGTTGAGAAATCGAAATGACCAAAATCGAAAATTTTGAAACTGTTAAATTGAAAAATTTTAAATCAAAAAATCGAAATCTCGATAAATCGAAAAACCGAAAAATCTAAAAGCGAGAAGTCCAGAAATCTAAAGATCCAGATCATCAAAAAAATGAAAAAGTGCAATTTTAAAACTTCGAAAAATCTAAAATTTAAAAATCGAAGAAATAAAAAAAATCGAGAAATCGAAAAGTCGAAAAATTGAAGAAAAAAATCCCAAAGAATCCCAACACTGAAACTGAAACATCGAAAAATTAAAAAATCAGAAAATTGAAGAATTGAATAACTGAAACTAGAATCATCGAAAAGTCGAAAAATCGAAATAGTAAAAAATCGAAAAATTCAAAAATCAAAAATTTAAAATTTGAAAACTCAGAGAATTGGAAAATCGAAAAGCCGAAAGCTCAAAAACGGAGAAATTGAAATATCGAAGAATTCAACAACTGAAATATCGAGAAATCGAAACATCAAACCATCGAAAAATCTGAGTTTCGAGAAGTCGAAAAATCTAAAAATTAAGAAATAGAAATAGGCCAAAATCGAACATTTAAAAATTGAAAATTTTGAAAAAAAAAACAAAATTGAAAAATCGGAAAATCGGTAAATGGAAAAATTGGAAAATCGAAAAACTGAAATACCGAAAAATCTAAAACCGAGAACTCAAAAAATCTAAAGATCGAGAAATCGAAACATCAAAAAACCGAAAAATCGAAAATTTACATATCCGAAAAATTGAAAGACTATCGAAGAACTAAAAAATTGAAAAATCGAAAAATCGGGAAATCGAAAAGTCGAGAAATTGAAAAATTGAGAAATCGCAAATTTAAAAATTAAAGAAAATAGAAAACTGAAAGGCCGAAAAATCTAACACCAAGAAGTCGTAAATCTAAAGATCGAGAAATCGAAACATCAAAAACTAAAAAATCGAAAATTTAAAAATTTGAAAAATTAAAAAATAGAATATCGAAGAACTGAAAAATTAAGAAATCGGAAAATTGAACGATGAAAAACTGAAAAATTTCAAAGCTGAAGTGAGGAAAAATTGGGAAAAAATCGAAAAGTTGGGTAATCGAAATGGCTAAAATCGAAAAATCGAAAACTTAAAAATTGAAAAATTTAAAACAAAAAAATCTAAAATTTAAAAATCGAAGAAGCAAAAAATCGAAATGTCGAAAAATTGGAAAAAAATCCCAAAATTTGAACATCGAAAATCGAGAATTTGAAAAGTCGAAAACCTGAAAAATCGAAAAATTTAGAAATCGAAAAATTGAACAATTGAATAACTAAAAACTCGAAACATTGAAAAGTCAGGGAATCGGAGCAGTAAAAAATCGAAAAATTCAAAAATCCAAAATTTTAAAATTGAAAAAATTGAACATTGAAAAACTGAAAAATCGATGAAACTGGAAAATTCAAAAACTGGAACATCCACAAATCGGAAAATCGAGAAGTTGAAAAATCGAAATGGCCAAGATAGAAAAATCTAGAATTATAAAATTTTAAAAATTTAAAATAAAAAAAAGGAAAAATCGAAACATCGAAATCTCGATAAATCGTAAAATTGAATAATCGAAAAACTGGAAAACCGAAAAATCGAAAATTTAAAAATTCGAAAAATCTAAAATTCCATTAAAAAAAACACAACTTAAACATCGAAAAATTGAAAAGTGGAGAAATCAAAAAATGGAAAAATCAAAAATCGATTATTTGAGAAGTCGAAAATTTGAAGAATCGAATAATTGAAAAACTTCAACACCGACATCGAAAAATTGAGTAATTGAAAATAGAAACTCGGCAAATTGAAAAATCGAAAAATTGAAGAAAAAACAAACTGAAAAATTCCAAGACTAAAATATCGAAAAATTGAGAAATCGGAAGTTGAAGAATCGAGAAATCGAAAAATTGTTGTCTACAATTTCTGTTTTTTCCAAAAATCTCGATGTATAGGATAAAAATTCAACAAGGCTTCATAAACCACAAGTTCAGGACTGTTACTTAAAATTTAACACGGATTCATAAACCAAAATGGGGGAGTACGTACGTTTACTGCATAATTTGGAGATGACAAAAATTTGATGATAATTTCGGAAATTATCTGTCTTGTAAGAATCCGGACAGACTTGTAGACAGACAGACAAACAGACGGACGGACGGAAGGACGGGCGGACGTACTATAGCGTAAACAGTTGAATTTTCACCGCTTGTTCCAAGTATATTTTTTATTGTACACCTCTTATTTTTTAAACGGATGTTGTAGCCATTTCCAGAAATATTTGAAAATAGGGTTCATCACTTTGTGAGTGTCATCACTCATTAGTCTTTGATAAGCCCCATTGTTCATAAAAGTACCTGAATATCTGCTCTTTCGGGGTTCGCTACCAGGACCGTGCCTACATAGTTTATAAACAATTGTAGAGTGGTCTTAGAAATATTTGAAAATAGAGTTCATTTCTTTTATTGTTCTCACAGTGGGACATGATTTATTCCCATTGTGAGAACAATAAAAGAAATTAACTTTATTTTCAAATATTTGTAGAACCACTGTACTTTGTATTTGTTTTATGTTTATGTCATTTTGTATATCGGTGTTCGAAAAATGATGGATAAGCTCGATGGTTCTTTAATTTTGAAGTTTAATAGTTTCAAGAATTTTTTTTTCCGACTTCTTTTTACTTTTTTAGTGGAGGGTAGAATTTGGACTGCAAAAGCAATAAAAGTTTTCAAATATTTCTAGAAACATTTATTAAATTTGTATAAGTAAACCCGCTTTGTTTTTAGATCAATCCTACAACACCATCGTCCAGACGGCCTTCGGCGGGCGCACCGTGTCCGCCTCCCGGTGCGGCGAGTGCGACACCAAGAGCGAACGCGTGGACAACTTCTGGGAGCTGCAGCTCTCCTTCCCGAACAACTCGGCCAACCAGTCCGTGCAGACCCTCCTCGACTACTACCTCCAGCCCGAGAAGCTCAGCGGCGACAACCAGTACCACTGCGAGGTGTGCGACTGTCTCACCGACGGCGAGCGCGTCACCTGCATCGAGGAGGCGCCGCCTCGGCTCATCCTCACCCTGAAGCACTTCCGGTACGACCAGGCCTCCCAGCAGCGCACGAAGCTGCTCCAGAGCGTCAAACTCGACAATCACGTGCGGCTCGACTCCGGCGAGTACGAGCTGTACGCCGCGGTGGTGCACTGCGGCTCCAGCGTGGACTCGGGCCACTACTACACCTTCGCGAGGGACGGCGACGAGTGGTTCAAGTTCAACGATTGCTCGGTCATGCGGACTATGTCGGAGGAGCTCTGCAGCCTGAAGCCGCCCGAGACGCCCTACATCCTGTTCTACAGCCGGCAGGACTGCTCGGACCCCGAGGCGCTGCCGCGGACGCTGCTGGCGCCGCGCCTCCAGGTGGTCATCAACAACGACCACTCGGAGTTCGAGCTGGAGAAGCGGCGGCGGCCGGCGAAGGCGTACGGGGGCAAGCAGAACAGGGACGACGGGCCGCCGCCGCCGGGCTGCGGCGGGGCGGGCTTCTCGAGCAATTCGACTAATATGTATGTATGCTAAATGTTCAAATATATATTGGATTTGGGTTATCATAGTTAAATTTTTATGTCTATCGTAATGTTACTTGTAAGATAATGATGCACATCGAACTGAATTTATTTATTGACGGCGGAGTAGCGGAGTTTGAGGTTTAGGAGATTGTGATAAATTTGTGTGGAGGGTTTTAGGATATCACGAATTCTTACGTATGGCAGTGGACGGGCACTGGCGTATGTAACGAGCCTTTATCGGTGATCCTCTAATTACATGTGTATTACACGTCTTACGATTATTGTAAATACCCAAGTTGCAAACAGAAAGTAACGCCTGTTTGAAAATATGCATTGGCAGAGTATTGTTGTGTTATTGTTGTTTTTGTTTTATACTAGTGTTCTCTGGAGATAACAAGAACTGTATTTGTTACTTTTTCTACTTTCAAATATTACCGGTGTCTCCTCTTTTTACATTGTATTCATAGTGCATATTTCCAAGCTTTACGAGGCCAGTGAATTTGATAACTCTACTTTTTGTCAATCTTGTAGATACAAAATTCATTTACTGCAGGTATACTATATACCGTCTGTCTGTACACAAATTCTACGCTTGTAAATTTATAATATAAATTTGTTTTTTTTTCTATGTCTTATTTGAAAATATATTCACCCACTCCCTGTCGTGGCCAATTTTTGGTCACATACTTCTAGTTTTTTTTAAGTAGCAGAAGATCAACGTTGTATGGGTTCTTGAGTTAAGAAGCGCCGTAACCACTCGGTCGTTGTCGGTTACAGTCGTATCCGATCTTTATATAGTAAAATAGGCTTTGATATTTTTTTTTGGTTTTTTGTATGAAAAAAATGATATTAATATAGATGTATCATACATCAAACTGCAGCTTTTTTCATAGTCTAGAGCGCAGAGACCAGTTCAATCAACTAAAAAAATATGGCTGAGAAATATCGTAAAAAAGCACCATTGTATGTTTTCTTTTCAAGTTTTTTGAGTCATAACCATCATAGAATCGCTTGAAAATTCGCACATGGATAAAACATCACTTTTTACAGGGCGCAGACTCATTAAATGTTTGTTAGTGGTACAATTTGTTTAAATAATAATGTGTTTATTAAAATCAAAATATACCACAAATTAATGCAAAATACGTCGAATAATTTTAACAGGAATATCAGAGGAAAATTAATGATCTATTGGTTAGCAGAGTTTTTAACAAAAACTAACAATTATTGAAAAAAAATGGGTATCAATTCGACAGAATTTGAGCAGTTAGTTCAGTACTTTGCCGACAGGAGGGCCACTAAAATTTACGGAAACGACTTTCCAGGTAAAACCCTTATCGCCTGCTTTACCATAAGCTGATTGTTAGAGTTCTCGGCTGATTTTTCTAATTTATGGCAAGGAACTCAGTTTTATAACAAGCCGCCAGGACTGGCCGCAGTAATCTATTGTTAAGGAAAATAACTTTTACGCAATGAGGTATTATCATAAAACCGAATTAAAACTGGGAACTATAATATTTTTACTCCACTCAGGATCCTGAATTCAATACACATGATTACTAAAAATTCATTGTAATATTATTGTTAATATATATTTTGCTTTGTTAATTAATAAAACTAATAAACATATTTATAATAATAATAAAAAATATATAAAATACAGCTTTTGTTTAACACGTATAAGTATAGCTAAGTGTATCTACTACTTATCCCAGAAAAGAGGTATTTTAAAAAAGCCCTACGCCCAGTAACTTCTCCCTTCATTGTTTACCTGAAAACAGTGTTCGTATATGTTTTCATTTGCCGAAATATCATTTTCAAAATATATTTATAATAAAAATATGCAAGTCTTGGTGATGAAAAATGTACTCGTAATAAATTATTAAAGTGCATAAAAAAATAGAAACAAATTTTATTTATTTTTAAAAAATCTCGTGCAAAGGCAGGTTCCTCTTTCTTTTTGAATCAATTATTTCGGGCAATAATGCGCCAAAGTAAAATCTGCCAAGTTTATCTGCCATCTTTTTACATATATTTCTTCGTCTTTATACATTTTTTCTATATTTATTCCTTTGGGTGTCCATACAACAAAATAAACTTGTGAAATACCCGTAACAAGCATTTGTCCCTGGACTTGAAAGTAGTAATCATGATTTTTTTTTTAGTTTCAATTCTGTCTGTCAATGTACAAAATTTGATTATTTTTTTTCTAACCGCTTCTTTGGGAGACAAATCTTGCGATTTTGAAGGGCATTTAATTTCGACTAATGCACTCCTATCCTCTAGATTCTAGAACCCTATCTGGACTAGCAGCCAAGTAAGGAAATTGTTTTGAAATAAACAAGCCACACCGTTCAGTTTTTATATTTTTATTTCTTTCAAAACACTTGACAGCTTTTTCCTCACTTTGTTTTCCATAGTATGTATGATTTTACCTCTAAATGTACTGTACAACAGAGACTCCACAGTTTTAGCTATTGCTGTAGTCGGTCTAAGTTTGTAAATACGTCCAAAATTTGAAGCCGTAACCCTAATTTCTCTTTCTTTTGCCCAAATGTGCCTGTTGCCTAGTGTCTATTTCAATTTGGTCTAAATTCAAAGATAATTTTCTCAAAAAAACCTCTTTGGCTGTCACAAATGTTTCTACATCCATGACAGGATTTTCTAAAAAATATTTAAACCATAATCGCAGTCGGGACCAGCATACGTAATTTTTTTTACGACGTTGTTTTATAGACGAACAATATTTTTTTATTATTAAACCAGGACCGTTTTAATCACAATATATTTACTTATCCCCTCTAAAAAATTGATGACGTCACCTCAAAATTTTGCTGAAGTCTCTTCTTGTGATTTATCATTCCATTCATATTTTTTGGATTCGGATATACAGGGTGACTCAAAAAATTTAATGAATGCGCAAATTTATTTTATTGATTTAATCAGGAACTACAAAAGCGAATGCTGTGAAAAAAAAACATAATAGGCATGCAGTCGTCACGTTTCCGATAGCGAGGGAAGTACTCTCTAAACTCTTTAGACCACTTTTTTTGATTTTCCCATTTTTCCATTTCTCAATTTTTCAATGTTTCAGTTTGGGATTTTTTCACTGTTTCGATTCTTTAATTTTCCTTCCATTTTTAGGTTTTTCAATATTTCAGCTTTGGAATTTTGCAATATTTCGTTTCTTCAATTTTTCAAATTTTTGAGATTGTGTTTTCTCGGTTTTTAAATTTTTCGATATTTTAATTTTAAAGTTTTAGGTTTTTAGATTTCTCACTATCTCGACTTTTCGATTTTTCAGTTCCATGATTTTTCAATTTGTCGAATATTTAAATTTTAGGTTTTTTGATCTCGATCATTCAATTTTCTGAGTTTTCAGGCTTGGATTTTTTTTATTGTTCAATTCTTGGATTTTTAAAATTTTTGTTTTTAAATTTTCCTATTTATCAACTTACTGGGCTTTCAATGGTTTGATTTTTTGATTGTTCAATTTCTCGATTTTTTGAATTTTTAGTTTTTGATACTTTTTTTTTTCAAAAATTTTCAGTTTTTCAATTTATTAACTTTACGATATTTCAATTTTACGATTTTTAATTTTTTTTATTTTTCAGTTTTCAATTTTTGAGGTTTCTAAATTTTTCGATTTTGCAATTTTTCGATTAACTGATTTTTTGATTTTCCCATTTCTCTATTTCTTGATTTTTCAATTCTTTCTTCAATTGTGATTTTTCAATTTTTCGATTTCTGGATTTTTTAATGTTTCAGTTTTGGATTTTTTCACTTTTTCGATTTTTCAATTTTCCTTCCATTTATCAGTTTTTCAGTATTTCAGTTCTGAGATTTTGCAATGTTTCGGTTCTTCAATTTTTCCATTTTTTGAAGTTTCGATTTCTCGGTTTTTCAATTTTTCGATAGGTATTTCAATTTTTAAGTTCTAAATTTTCCGTTAATTTTTTTGTTTTCCTTGATGTTTTGATTTCTCGATTATTTGATTTTTCAAGTTCTCGGTTTAGATTTTTTGGGTTTCCAATTCTTCGATTTTTAAATTGTTTCATTTTTAGATCGTTCAATTTCTCGATTTATAGATTTTTCAATTTTTCGGTTTACCGATTTTTTTCATTTAAAATGTTTCAATTTTTCAATTATTAAGTTTTCGATTTGTATTAATAATACATTTAGGCGAAGAAACTAATAGAACGGGCTTGATAAGCCTTGTTTGCTCTACAGTGTCTACATTGTGTTTGAATAATATAATAATTATCTCGAATATTAAAAGTAATATGTCAAAAGAATACGAGAAATGATTATTCTGTGCTGAAGGTATGTTGTGGGCCGCCTGTCATAAATTATCATTATTCTGCATTATCGGCTTACGATGCTTTTATGACTCACGTCCGGTAGTCCTCTATCCCAGCGCGTCAGGTAGATTTAAAGAAGAATGGCTGGTTGCGTTTAAGGCGCCCAATTCAAACTTGTCTCTCGTCTAGCGTTCCCCCTTAAGTTGGATAAACTGATTTGATGATTTAGTTTTTTGTCTGTCAGTAGTTTGATTGACATTTGCTTTGAGCTGGATTGCAACTTTTCTACTTCATTTATTAGATCAGAATTATTAAACGCAATTTTTTAATCAAGCAAACAAATGTTTTAATTTTGTCAGCATAGATAATTTGTCATTTTGATGGAAATAGGCTGTTCACAAAGGTCGAAATTTCCATTTCTAAGAAGAGTGGGCGAGCACAACGAACTGATGATTGAGAATTAAAGATGAGATGCTAAATGTGGCATGCGACAATCGTCGTATGTGGAACCCCCATTCATATGGAAACAATGTTTAAGTGAAACATATGAAATAAACACTTACAAAAAGCCGAATAACTGTTTTAAATAGCGTAAAGTTTTATGCTTCTGGCATATTTTTTAACCTTTAATTTAATAAAACATAACCTAACGAAAAAAGTCCAGGGAATTATTATTCTTCTGCATCGAATACCAACAAACGCACTAGATTTTCATGGCCAAACCCTACTATATAAAGATCGTGAACGGATAATAGCAGTCAGTGTTGGGGACAGAACTTTTAAAATTATCTAGATACAGATTTTTTTCATTTTTTCGAAATGTATCTAGATAATCGATACAAAAAAACAACTTTTCTTGTATCGAACAAGTTTTATTAATAATATTTCAAATGTGTTGTCCCCTAAATAATTTTTCGTGGTGTAAGAAGTTCGCTTCCGCTGCTAAACACCCACTCTACAGGTACACAAGAAGGAACTATTTTGCTAAATTAAAAAAAAAACGCATTTTACAGCAGTATTCATTAAAAAAAAATTAATCATTATGTAACACGCAATTATTTTTTTTATAAATAAATATACCTTTAAAGAATTTTTTACAATAAAAAGTTACTCTTATTTAATAACACAAATAAATGAAAAATCACTCAGAGTAGATAACCAAATATTTACTACATACTTTATTTAGATACAAATATTTAGATAATGCCAAACAATGCAACTGAATTAAAAAAAAATAATGGTCCTTTTGTACTAAAATGTTTTAAAATTATAAAAGATATAAAGACATTGTAGTTTCGCAACAATTACTTCCTCTGTCCCAAAATAGAGTACTTAAAAAATTATTCAAAAGAGTGTCGAAACTAATATATCAATATATATTCCTGTCTGTCTTTCTGACTGCCGCTCGGTTATGAAACAGCAATAACAGTTGCTGTCTTTATCTAATTTCACTAAATAGTTCCAAATAAGTCAAAATAAATTTGTAGGTACAAAAACAATGAACTGAATTATCAAAATTATACAGACATAAAGCTCACTTGTACACTTTTACTGCTTCGATAATACGAACTGCTTTTTCAAGTTTCTACTCAAATTTTTTGTTTCACTTTTTCTAAATATGTATGCCCTAATTCTACTATTTTGCCCTTTTTCTTAACAGGTAGTCGTCATTTTTTGTTTAAACTTTGTTTTTTTATAGAGTTTTGTTTCAATAACAATATTACAGTTAACATGTTTTCAGTTTCTTGTTGGGAAAAAAAGATTTCGTATTTTAAGAAAAAACGGACAAAATATAGGCCCCACCCACCCATCCCTTCTCAATTGTGATGAATTTCTTATGCATCGTGAACTCATTCCTAGAAATTACGAGATGAAATATGTTTTTAAAAGGGTAGAATTTTCTAGAAAAATTTTGATGTTGCAATTAAACTCTGCCCCTCGGTCTGATTAGGAATGAAAAAATCACCAGAATAGAGATAGGGTGGGTGAGTGGTTTAATCTTTGTTTTTTTTAATGTAGAGGTTTATTTCAATAATAGGATGATAGTTAACATGTTTTCCGTTTCTTTTTGAAAAAAAAAGACTTCGTATATTAAGAAAAAATGGGCAAAATATAAGCCCCACCCACCCACCCCTTCTCAATTGTGATGAATTTTTTATTCATCGTGGACTTATTTCTAGAAATTACGATATGAAATATGTTTTAAAAGGATACAATTTTCTAGAAAAATTTTGATTTTACAATTAAACTTCGCCCCTCGGTCTGATTAGGAATGAAAAAATCATCACAATTGAGATAGGGCGGGTGGGCGGGCCTTATATTTTGCCCTTTTTCTTAGTATAGGTAGTCGTTTTTTCTTGTTTAAACTTTATTTTTTTTAATATAGAGTTTTATTTCAATAACAGGATGATAGTTAACATGTTTTCAGTTTCTTGTTGAAAAAAAAAAGACTTCGTGTATTATGAAAAAATGGGTAAAATATAAGCCCCACCCACCCACCCCTTCTCAATTGTGATGAATTTCTTATTCATCGTGGACTCATTTCTAGAAATTACTATATGAAATATGTTTTTAAAAGGGTGCAATTTTCTAGAAAAATTTTAATTTTACAATTAAACTTCGCCCCTCGGTCTGATTAGGAATGAAAAAATCATCACAATTGAGATAGGGCGGGTGGGCGGGCCTTATATTTTGCCCTTTTTCTTAGTATAGGTAGTCGTTTTTTCTTGTTTAAACTTTATTTTTTTTAATATAGAGTTTTATTTCAATAACAGGATGATAGTTAACATGTTTTCAGTTTCTTGTTGAAAAAAAAAAGACTTCGTGTATTATGAAAAAACGGACAAAATATAGGCCCCACCCACCCACCCCTTCTCAATTGTGATGAATTTCTTATTCATCGTGGACTCATTTCTAGAAATTACTATATGAAATATGTTTTTAAAAGGGTGCAATTTTCTAGAAAAATTTTAATTTTACAATTAAACTTCGCCCCTCGGTCTGATTAGGAATGAAAAAATCATCACAATTGAGATAGGGCGGGTGGGCGGGCCTTATATTTTGCCCTTTTTCTTAGTATAGGTAGTCGTTTTTTTTTTTGTTTAAACTTAATTTTTTTTAATATAGAGTTTTATTTCAATAACAGGATGATAGTTAACATGTTTTCATTTTCTTCTTGAAAAAAAAGACTTCGTGTATTAAGAAAAAATGGGCAAAATATAAGCCCCACCCACCCACCCCTTCTCAATTGTGATGAATTTCTTATTCATCGTGGGCGCATTTCTAGAAATTACGATATGAAATATGTTTTTAAAAGGATACAATTTTCTAGAAAAATTTTGATTTTACAATTAAACTTCGCTCCTCGGTCTGATTAGGAATGAAAAAATCATCACAATTGAGATAGGGCGGGTGGGCGGGCCTTATATTTTGCCCCTTGTCTTACGTAATACTTTGTTTGTACTTTGTCGTTTTTTTCGAAAAACTGAAAAATGAAAAAATTGAAAACTCGAGCAACTCAATTCGAAAAATTGTGTCAATTTTCCTGTTATAATCAACGCAAAAAGATAACAAAAATGTTACAAAAAAATGCGACACAAAAAAAGCCACAAAGAAATTCCTTCTTATTTTGGCGTCTTTTTTATACATAGATAATATTTGTTGTTTTTGGAATTTTTTTGGTCTCCTCTTTGTTTTTTTTTTTTTGTCTATTATCAAATATCTAACAAGTCTGGCACTATCATTACAATTACCAACCTTGTATAAGCAAAACATTGATTATATTGTGTTTTACACTATTATTATAACATGACGAAGGAAAATAAAGTTTGCTTGCATTAGGATAATTTAATACACAATATTTGCAAAGTTTTAGAAAGTCAAAATTTTGGGTAAATGTTTACATAAATTTAGAAAGTTTTCTTTCTATTAACCTAGTAAGTTTTATAAAAGGTATAATTAACATGCCGGTTAATAGAAATTTCAAACATCTAGCACATTTTAATTTTCTTTTAAGTTTTTCAAAATATATCCTGCTGAATTATATAAACAATTCTATTGTACATTGTTTAATTCGGGGAACATCTTGTTCCAGCCAATAGGCAGTTGATCCATATTTTTTGGATTGGATTTTCCAAAGGTTTGCAACCGTTTTGATCTGAACAACTAGTTTCCGACATTTTAGTATCCAAAAACTGAAAAACACATATATTTTTTAAATTCTTTTGAAAGTTATACCAGTTTTAATAAAAATAGTTAAAACTTAAAGACTCGACACGGATTCATGAACCACAAATGCAGAAATAATGCTATTGTAAATTTTGGAGATGACGTCATCCCAGTGGTGGTGGGGACGATGAGCCAAATTTTAGTTAGCGTTTTAATATTTACATGATATTCCTAATGTACGTACAAAGTTTGACAACAATCGGTCTAGACAGACAGACAGACAGACGGAAACGGGCCACCTATTGCTTCGTACTCTGGCGTCAGGAAAGGTCGAAAAAACGTAAAAGAAATCGGACACTTGTTATTTTGGAATAAAACTGATTTCCAAATCAGACACTTAATTTGGGACAGAGGGAGCTTATGAAATCAGTTTCATCCTGGACAAAAAAAGTAACTAATTTTGACTTGCTTCAGACATAAACTATGTTCCAATTTTGTCACTTAATGGTAGCCAAAGACACAAATCCAATACATACCTAGACATTGAACAAGCAAATTTTGCTTCAGGATATTTATTTTTCATTTTTCAGATTCGGCCCAAACAAATCCCTTTAAAAATACTAAACAATAAATAGTTCTAAACTTACCACAATAAACATTGTTATGGAGCAATTTTTAATAAATAATCTCCTTAAACTTAGATTTAGTAAAATGTAAACGGACTTTAAATTTTGTTGTTATAATAAAAATTGCATTTTTTGTTTCTATTATTATTTTATATATTTTCAGACGGCTGAGTTTTTTGTAAATAACTATTGTCACTTTTGTAACATTTTTTGAATTTTTCTAAAATATTACTTAATACGGTCCTCCTTCGTCACGTGGACACACGATTCCTCAACGGTCCATGCATGATCTCCCGCGAAAACAATTAATCGCGGCGGCTGTGTCTTGTGTTACCTCGGGGCAACATGGCGTCGGTTTTTGGTTTTTTGTTAAAATTGCAAATTTGGGTGGATTTTTGTGTCAATTATTAAAAATTTTTAACGCTCGGTATAATCTAATTGCTATAGTGTTGTTTGTTTGTGTTGTAGCAGAGATTTTCGGAGAAATCAAGTGGATGATTGAAGATGCATCAGAAAGGGTAAGTAAGACGAAGCGTCCTTTTCTTCTCGTTGATTTTAACGCTAATTTTGCGTAAATGTACCAACATGGGTTGGAATAATGTTCCTGGGTGTTGTTAGTAAATCGGGAACGAGAAAATTTTGGAGAAAAGTCGAGATTTGTTCGAAATTTGGGTTTGCAGAATTGTGTGACGTCACTGGTGCTCAAACCAGAGTGTTTCCGTAGCCGCCTTGAACGGTGAATTGTAGTCAGTGTACAAAAACGGGAAAAATTGGCGATAATAAATTTCCTATTTGTGAGTTAGGGCCACTTTTGTGTGTTTTTGTGATAGTATTGGCGGTATTTCTCGCCATAGTTGCAAGGTTGTTGTAATGGTGGAACCATGATGGCGCCTCCACCAATTTTTAACATTTTCGTTCAAAATAAAAAGTTAAAGTTCTCTAAGCCAAACTTCGTCAATGTTTTATAGTGTTTTAGTGTAAAATTGATTATTAAGTGCCTTAAAATAGTAAATATTGTTGGTATTTTTAATTTTCGAAGATAGGCAACCCACATTAAACGGAAACGAACCTGTGTATTTTACCACAGTTTCTCGTTTTTTTTTTGTTATAAACGGAGTTACAGTTTATTACAAAGACTAAAAAACACGCTTTCGTAACAATGTGGACTAAAAAATGATATTTAAATTAAATAAAAAAATCATTATGTAAAAAAGCGTGGGGTGCATATCAGTTGTGGAGAACACCCCACGCTTTTTATATTAAAGTTATTTTTTTTAAGTTTAGTCGATATTGCTACAAAAGTGTGTTTTTTTAGTTTTTTAAACTTATAATTGAATGAAATTGTGTTGTGTATTATTGGTTGCATACTTTCAGTACATTGATGTGTGTTTTTATTTAAACTAGTAAGAATGCATGATCAAAACAATGAAATTATTGAAATAAAACTATGTTATATATTTGCGATAATTTCCAGATTACAAAAATTATATCGACTCTCGCTGGGCAGTAATTTTACCAATTTTTTTACCAATAAAGCACATGGTCGTACAGTACATATTTTATGGTCTTTCATGTTTTTGAAATTAAAAATATATGAAACATAAATAAAAATTGTTAAATATGTATTTTATATCTAGTAGATAGGCAACCAACATTGCATGCATACAAAAAGGAGTACATGTATTTCCTTTTGGGAAATTTTTGGATTTCTGTTTCTAAAAAATGTCAAAGCCGTGAAATAATATTGAGTTCGTATTATTTAAAGTTTGTGCCTTAAAATTTTATTTTTATTGTGCATAAAATGTTTTTTAATAGGAAATTCTTGATGAACCTTTTTCCTCTTTACAACTGACACAAAATTTATTTAGTGTAACCTGTTTTACAGATTGTAAATAAATGCAGAATTAAATTAAAAAAAAATAACAATAAAAGTGTGTGTGTAATTCAAAAATCAATCTGGCCCTTGTAAAACTTAAGGGTTCCCAGTCGTCGCCCACAAAATCGGTTTCAGTGAGAAGAATTATTTTTTGTAACGATCCACGGCTGGTAGCGACCCAAGAGAGGAGAGATTATGGTCACTGTAGGGAGTCCGTCATAAAATGCAAATCGGTAAACAACACCAGATAAGCTTATTTATTTTCAAATGAAGGGTACAGGGAAATAACCATCGAAATCCATTTGTATGTATTTTGAAAGAAATTGAGTTGAAAGTTTAAAATGCTGCGGAAAATAGATTGAGAAACCCACAAGGTTCAGTCTAACACAACTTTTTATTTTCTTTATAATGTTTTAAAAATATATAAAATAAACTGTTTGTGTTCAAATATAACAGCAAAAAATTGGTGGAAAGTTTTTTCGACAGAACTTCCCTCGCACCTAAAATACAATGAAACATATCCAACATTTACGTGTTAAATTTTTACTTTAGGTACACAATTTTGTGATGAAATCATCAACATTTTGCAAGGACACGTAAATCAATGTGGATTAGACTCAAAATAACAGTATTCCAAAAATTTCTGGGAAAATGCAGTGAGTCGAGACTGATTTAATCAATAGAATAAATTGACTCATTCATTAATTTTTTTGAACCACCTAGGTAAATAAGCAAACCAAAAAAAATATAAAAAAAAATATGAATGCAATGATAAATTACAAGTAAAAACTCATCATATTTTGCACATTTTTAGTAGAATTAATTCAGCAAAATTTTGAGATGACGTTATCAATTTTTACTTCCCGAGCGTAAGCAAAGGAAGTATTGTAATCGAGTCCGTCGGCCGACTCTCTACTTTTACGTTTTCTCGATCTTTCATGACCCCTAGAAGACGAAGAAATATGTCTCCCATTTCCGTCTGTCTGTCCGTCTGTCCGTCTGCCGTCCCGGATTTTTATTAGACAGATAATCTCCGAAAGTGCTCGACCGATTGTTGTGAAATTTTGTACTTATATTAAGAATTTCATGTAGATGGTAAAACGCTAACCAAATTTTGTCTAATCATCCCCACCACTAATGCGATGACGTCACTTCAAAATTGTACATAGTAAATGGGTTTTCAATTGTATTAAATAGCATAGTCCTACATATGTAGTTTACAACTCTGAATCGACTTTTCACCCGAAACGTCCAGATTTTTGGAAAAAAAATCAAAATTATAAAACAACATTTTGAAATTTAATTTTTAATCTGCTAACCAGAATGCTTTGAAATGTTGCAGATATTTTAAGGCTATAAAGAGCATCATAAATTTTTAGTCAAAAAATATTTGCTTATCCCCTCCAAAAACTTGATGACGTCAGCTCAAAAGTTTGTGGAATAAATCATATCTAAAATGTACAAAATATGATGAGTCTGTACTTGTGATCTATCACTCCATTAATATTTTTTGGATTTGCATATACAGGGTGACTCAAAAAAATTAATGAATGCGTAAATTTATTTTACTGATTTACTCAGAAACTACAAAACCGAATGCTTTGAAATCTTGCAGATGTTTTAAGGTCATAAAGAGCATAATAAATGTTTAGTCAAAATATATTTGCTTGTCCCCTCCAAAAAATTGATGACGTCAGCTCGAAAGTTTGCCGAATAAATCATATCTAAAATGTACAAAATATGATGAGTCTGTACTTGTCATTTATCACTCCATTCATATTTTTTGGATTTGCATATAAAGAGTGACTCAAAAAAATTAATGAATGCGTAAATATATTTTATTGATTTAATCAGGAACTACAAAACGGAATGCTCTGACATCTTGCAGATGTTTTAAGGTTATAAAGAGCATAATAAATGTTTAGTCAAAATATATTTGCTTATCCCCTCCAAAAACTTGATGACGTCAGCTCGAAAATTTGCCGAATAAATCATATCTAAAATGTACAAAATATGATCAGTCTGTACTTGTGATCTATCACTCCATTCATATTTTTTGGATTTGCATATACAGGGTGATTCAAGAAAATAAGTGAAAGCGTAAATTTATTTTACTGATTTACTCAGGAACTACAAAACCGAATGCTTCGAAATCTTGAAGATATTTTAAAATTATCATAAGCATGGTAAATGTTTGATCAAAATGTATTTGGTCGTCCCCCCTAAAAAATTTAAGACGTCACCACAAAATTTTGCTGAATAAATTCTATCTAAAATGTACAAAATATGGTGAGTCTCTTCTTGTGATTTATCATTCCATTCAAATTTTTTCGATTTGCATATACAGGTGACTCAAAAAAATTAATGAATGCGTAAATTTATTTTATTGATTTAATCAGGAACTACAAAACCGAATGCTTTGAAATCTTGCAGATGTTTTAAGGTTATAAAGAGCATAATAAATTTTTAGTCAAAATATATTTGGTTATCTTCTACAAAAAACTGATGACGTCAGCTCAAAAGTTTGCCGAAAAAATCGTATCTAAAATGTACAAAATATGATGGGTCTGTACTTGTGATTTATCATTCCATTCATATTTTTGGATTTGCATATGCAGGGTGACTCAAAAAAATTAATGAAGGCGTGAATTTATTTTATCGATTTAATCAGGAATTACAAAACCGAATGCTTTGAAATCTTGGGAATATTTTAAAGTTATTATAAGCATGGTAAACTTTTGTCCAAAATGTATTTGTTCATCCCTCCTAAAAAAATTGATGACGTCACCCTTAAATGTTGCTGAATAAATACTATCTAAAATGCAAAAAATATGATGAGTTTGTACTTGTGATTTATCATTCCATTCATATTTTTTAGATTTTCTTAAGAGGTGCTTCAAAAAAATTAATGAAGTCAATTTATTTTATTGATTAAATTAAAGGCAACACTTATTATTATTAGTATTACACCCCAACTAACCCAATTTGGTAGACACAAAATTTGTTAAAGGAAAAACTCGGTTGAAACATAAGGGTAGCACGCTTATTTACATCGACTTTAATATTACAGACCTGCATTTGTTTTATGCGCTCACTTGGTTCCGCGAATGTGAAATAGACATGTTTATAATCAACCAATTGTGAATTTCACCGTCAAGAATTAAAATAAGACCCAATGTTTTATATAATAAGCGGAAGTCGAAGCAATAAAACCGATGGTCGTTTTGTTTACAGTTTCACTGTTTGACTCTCACGTATGCTGTTACGCTTGTCATCTTAAATTAAGAATGTTTATACATAAACGATTTTCAGTTGCCTTTCATATTACTAGACAGCGGATTTTTGTCGGGCTACGTCACGATTATAGGTGGGGACGCGCTGGATCGCCGGGACTCAGTAGCGGGTGATAGATAATCACTGAATTTAATCAGTACTAATTCCGTAAATATAATTAACGATTTATTAATCAAACGGCTAAGTAAATGAGAACGGGAATTAACAGCAGAGTGCAACGAAACAGCGTTATTCTAATCTCAAATAAACGAAGTGCAGTCCGCAACCGCAATGAATTCGCATCCCGTACGAGCCGTACCGAGTTTGGCCTTGCCTAGCCCGACAGAAATCCGCTCTCTACATATTACA